GTCTCTTTCGTGGAGAAGGAAATTCACGTGACGTGTTTAACGCAGTCTGAAGAAGGTAAATCGCTTAACAAAGACAGTCGATCACCAGGGTTGTGATAAACGTGATCCCTGATTGCCATTTTAGGTTTTGTCAAGCCAGCAAACAAAGTCTGGCTGTGTTGAACTTGCTTTATGCTACAGCCCTCTGGTGTTGGTCTTCACTTCACAAGGTAAAGCACTCACCTTGATCTGGACAGGGAAGGAGTAGATGAGGTCCTCTGGGATGCCATAGGAGTTTCCAGCAGCATACACACCCATGGAGAGAAACTCACCCTGTTGGCAGGAAAAACACAGCTTTTGCCAGTTTGCACACATTCTGTAGTGAAACCTGTCGGACTCTTCCTGACTAGAACCACAGGAAAGTCACTTTTTCTTACTTAGTAAATAATAATTATGTCTCTATTTAAAATCCCACAAGAAGACACGTTTTTTGTGTCTCTGTCCACACTGACCTCCTTGGTGCCGAACCAGATGTCTCTCATGTGGTCACAGATGGCCTTGGCGGCAGACATGGCGCTGGACAGCTTCCTGGCCTTGATGACGGCGGCACCACGCTGCTGCACGGTCTGCAGGACGAGGAGGACAACGTGTCAAATAACTGCCTAAACTATAAACATGGGAAGAAAACTAAATTATCTAAAATCTAAATGCAGCGAGCAGCTCAGCACTCACAGAGATGAAGTCTCCTCTGAGCCAGGCCTCGTCCTTGATGGCGTCGTAGGCGGCCATCTCAGAGCCGCGGACGTTGACCTTGGCGTGATGGACGTCGGGGTACTGGGTGGAGGAGTGGTTCCCCCAGATGATGACGTTCTTCACGTTGTCAGAAGACACGCCGCAACGCATCGCCACCTGCAGGCGAGAGACGATTACAGCAAGTAGAATCACTAAGCAGAGATTCTTTTGATCAGAAACGAGCAAATCTCTGACAAATGCAAAATGTCAGAGCCTCACAGGAGAGAGAGAGAGACTAATAGATAAGATACACTGATGTGGATTTTACTGTATTTCATGATTCAATAATAACAGCTTTCCTTTCTCAGGGAAACCGTTCCCACTGGACGACTGTTCAGAGTGTTTCCTATCCTCTAGAAGTCTTTTGCTCAAAAACAGCCACCGTAGATCGGGGCAGTCTGTCCTTCAATCATGCTATATTTAAGCCAGTGTGGTCTGTAAATCTGGGTTGTCGGCAGTATAAAAGGGTAAACGTGTACCTGGGAGCAGGCTCTGTTGTGGTCCAGTCGGGTCAGGCAGGAGAAGTTCTCTTTGGGGATGGATGGAGCGGACTTGGAGGCGATGAGGCAGTTGGTGTTTGCCGGGTTTCCGACGACCAAAACCTGACAGGACGGAAAATCAAACAGGGTTCACCAGCCATCATACAGTCAGGTGGCCGAGTGGAAATCTGACAAATCTGAAATCGTTTTCGGAGAGACTCCTTGTAACTGAACAAATGACAAACACAAATTTTTTGATCTGGACCCAGTTTTTCAAAAGCATCCTACTGCTAAGCTGATTGTGGTCTCATTGTAAGATCATCTGAGCCTTTAAGATGCTTTGGGGGCCCAGAATCTGTGGCAAGAAAGTGTTGGGGGAAAAAAAGTGCTAGAAGAGTTCAGAGCTAGCTGTCTGTCCAGCTGGATGTCCGTCTAGGATGCTGTCATGGAGCCATGTTGCTGTTAAAGCAGACACTCAGCAGTCCCTCCACTCTCTGTGGGTTTCTCTCAGCAAACGTCCAGCCTGTTGCCGAGGGAGCGGACATTGGAGAGCAGGAGGACGGTCCTGCTGGTCTGGAGGGGTTAGCCTTTAGCCTAACATGGATCTGGCTCTCTTCCTCCTCCTTTATTTACATTTGTACTGCTTCCTTCTCTCTCCGGTAGCTGCCGGTGTCGTCTCTGATCGGACGCCGTGTTGGTGTATTATGTCCACATAACATCCGACGTTCATCGCCCTGATGTTCAGCAAAGTCTCTCGACTGTAAATTTTGCAGAATGAACGTCTGGGAGAGACGAGACACTCAAAACTTTCCCTCTCGCTGTCTCCTGAAGGGGGCGCTGCCATCTCTGTGGAAACCTTAGTAAATTTCTATCTAAGGTTGAACAAGAATCAACTTTAAATGGGACTGCGACTTGAAACCGTGCAGTTTAGATGAAACATTATGCAGCTCGTCTGATCCAGGGCTTTTAATCTTTATTTTTAGATCGACTTCTTGTAGTTTTAGACATTTGTGTTTCGTGGTCTGCAGTGTAAAACAACTAAAGCGGCCTCACTACCAGCATCAGGCTGTTGACTTTTCTCCACGTGAAACTTTGGCCTTTGACCTCAGGCCAGACTGAGCCTCTTTCGTCACAGTCGTACTGGGCCCTCGAGGACTTTGCGTCATTGGGGCCCCCTGCTGATGTTATGGACATTATGGTATGTACTAAAAACTACACCAGGGAACTTTGATCCTTGAGCTTTGGAGGTCTGCTGTTCTGTCCAGATTTGTGTAGCTGCTGTGAGCAGAGCTATACTGCGACTGCACAGAAACCACCGGCTGTGTTTAAGGAAACACAGGAGATGCTGTGGAAGCACTTTCACTTCCTTTTGTTTATCAGCTGGAAGTGGTTTCTGTCAAACTCACTGACTTTCTACCAGCTAGCTGAACTCTCCTGCACATCGATGCCTGATTGATGGCGTCACTATTCAGAGTGAACCACAGAGCCTGCGGGCCGACCTCCTCGACAAATAAACGTCTTAATTAATGCTAACTATAAATACATTAAAGGCTGGAGGCTCACCTTGACAGTCTTCTTGGCGTACTTGTCCAGGGCAGATCCCTGCGTCTTAAAGATGGCCACGTTGGCCTTCAGGAGGTCCTTCCTCTCCATGCCCTCCTTCCTGGGCATGGAGCCCACCAAGATGGCGGCGTCGATGTCCTTGAAGCCCACCTCCACCTTGTCAGTGGGGATGACCTCTGTGGGCGGAGGAGAGGGAGGCGTTGGATTCAGTCTGTCTGACACCGTTTTGTTTTAATCTTTAAGCATCAACAGATTCATGGTGGGAGATTTTTTTTGTCTGCAAGAATTTCTTTATTTCGTCTGCTTGACCTCAATAATCCCGTTCTAGTCTGACAGTCATCGTTAACCTGTTGACCTGCAGAGCGAGCTATCTGCTCTGAACAAAGCCAGTCCATCAGGAACATATTGATAAGGATAGGACGATCTACTGGCCCTGATAAGCTGCATTGATTTTCTTTTTTGTAAACCATTAACAACATCCATGCACCTCAACCCTCACACTGTTTGCATGACTCTCTGTTAACTTAAACATGACGTTCATGTTCTTCTGCTGTGACGTCTAAGATTTATTGAAAATGCCTTATTTCTTTAGGGGATATTGTCGCATCATGTCACACGTGATATTTGCTCCATAATCAGGTTTCATTCAGAGTGAGTGTGTTTTCCAGAAAACATCCCGTCTCCTCTGCTGATCTTGACAATAAGATGCGTTTGCTGTGTGCTTGTTGGGAGTGAGCTGTACTATCAGACTGGACTTCAGTCCGGGTTCTCCTCTGCTCCACCACTGCTCTGATTGGCTCCCGTGGTGCCTGAACCACGAGCCAACCAGAGGTGTTTATTTTAGACACTCCTTCGTCCTTCTTACAGCAGCAGCAGCAGCAGCAGCAGCAGGGAGACGAGGCTTCTCCACAGAGGTTATGAAGGACAAAAAACACACTCATAAATAAACGGACAGCGTGTGCTGCATTCCAGATGGAAGCTCGTCACATAATTATGGTCAACAGCACAAGAAGCAGCTCCCTGCAGGCTGCAAATGTTGGTTCAACATTTGTTGTCATACAAGATGCTAAAACTGAAAAATTAAACCAGACTTGTACTAAAATACGACATCAGTTTTACTCACTGGTACCTCAACTTTAGTCACAATTTAAAATCTTGTTGAAAAAGATCTTTTTGGATAATTTTTCACATTCATTCCTCAATATTTCACACTTCGGATCGAGTACCTTGTGAGAAACACAGAGTGGTACTGCGTCAGATATTTCTTTTGCGATCAGGGCTGTGCATTCAAGCCAATCATAATATTTCACTACAACAACAGCCAACTCCACAATGACCAGTTATTAAGATATTTCCCTTTCCCCTGGTCTAAAACTTCAAACATGGGTGAAACCTAAAAATCTAATGTTTAAATCAAAAGCAAAAAGATTGGGTCGAATTTGTTGACGGGGCTCATTTCAAAGGGAGAACAGGTTTTCGTTCAGATATATGAACACACTGTCGGCTCACCCCTCAGCAGTGGGAGGGCGCAGTCCTGCAGCTCCATGACGACTCCGTCCAGCACCGGCAGCATGGGGGGAATGTCCAGGAGGATCAAGATGATTGGCTGATGAGACAACAGCAGCAAGTTCAGATAATTAACAACTATTGCATTGCAAAAGATAAAGTCAACAGTAAAGGTCCACAAAGAGAGAGAAATGACCATGAAGACAGAGAAAAGGACCTTAAAGAGACAGAAAAGGACCTTAAAGAGACAGAAAATGACCACAAAGAGACGAGTCAACGAGTCAAATGTGTATTATATTGAAATTGGCATGTTCTTTTCTTTTCCATTTGTTAAATCTATTTTTAATCGTTCGTTCGAAATAAAGAATATTCCATTTCCATGTCTGAAATATTGAACACATGCTTGTTTTGACTCTGAGAACCTTTGAATGACTTTCAAGGTGTCGTGTGCCCACATAGAGACTCAGAAAGGTCATGTTTAAAGGTGTAACAGTGCTGCTGAATCAGGTATTTCAAGCTCTGCATTCAGGTCCATAATTAATAAGCACCTCTTTTCACACAACACCTCTCTAGAAGAATCTCTCCTTCCTAAAACTTTTTCAAAATGGTTCCTGTAGAAAGTTTCCTGCAGCTTTCTTATGAAGTTCTACAACATTTTAAGACTTTTCATAAGTTTGATGATAACATATGTTTTCACAAACTAAACCTATTCCACACAGCATTACAGTGAATATTGCAATGTTGTGTGACGTTGTGTTGAGCCTGATTTAGGTTTTGCTTAATTACTTGATGGCACTCTTTAGTTAAGTCAGGGCTCCAGACTAAGACAGATATTTGGTCGCAACTCCCACCTTGT